AAAAAATAAAATATCATTCGTCCTTCTATATGACGGCTATAGATATGTCTTTGACTGAGTCACAGCACTTCTTTGAGGAGGTTCCTTATTAGTAAAAGAGGGATAAGAGAATCTACCCCACCCACCTTTTAAAGTGGTTTTCTGAAAGCCAAGTCAAACGATGAATCTGAAAGTGCTTTCTAAATATTTTCAGCCTGGACACCTGTGGATCAGAAAACCTAAGAGCAAAAAATCTATTTACCCTCCAGAGACTTCCAGAGCACAGACTGTATCTGTGCATGTTATGAGCATGTGCATGTGTGTTATCGGCAAGGGTCCTGGTAGTGGCTTTGTGCCCTCCACTATTATCATTACCAAGTACCACTGTATCTCTGCAAGCATCCAAAGTCAAGGTTGAGGGGCGCCTGGGCGGCTTGGTCAGTTAGGCATCCGACTTCAGCTAATGTCATGATCTTGCAGTTTGTGAGTTCGAGCCGGCCGCGCACTGGGCTCTCTGCTGTCCTTGTAGAGCCCCCTTCGGATCCTCTGTTTCCCCCAAAACTCTCTGCCCCTCCCCTGCTTGTGCTTTCTCTCTCTCAAAAATAAACCAACATTAGGGGCGCCTGGGTGGCTCGGTCAGTTGAGCGTCCGACTTCAGCTCAAGTCATGATCTCACAGTTCCTGGGTTCGAGCCCCGCGTCGGGCTCTGTGCTGCTGACAGCTCGGAGCCTGGAGCCTACTTCGGATTCTGTGTCTCCTCTCTCTCCTCCCCTCCCCCGCTTGCACTTTGTCTCTCTCTCTCTCTCTCTCTCTCAAAAATAAAAAAACATTAAAAATTTTCTTAAATAAATAAACATTAAAAACAAATTCAAGGTAGAAACAAGTTGGATAGCACCGCCTATCTGACCCTGAATCATATGGAAATTATGGCGCTAGAACATCTAATTCTCAATCATTCCAATTCCAGAGCCCTTTTTTTCACTTTGGTCTTGTTCCAAAGGCTTGATTGGTGGACAAGATACTTAAAATGTCCCGCACTTATGGTTCTGTGATCATGAGGTATCATCCCTCCACCCAGCTGGTGGCAGAAAAGTGTCTGGCCAAGAGGATTTAAAACAAGTACCACTAGGAAAGACCTGCAAGAAACCTTAGGGGCCTCCAAGTGGACAACTGAAAGGAACCAAAAGCTAGTGACAGAGAAGTCAATGACCCAACAATTGAGGGCGGTTTTATGAGTTTCATCCAATGAAGCAAAACTTGGACCAAAAAGCTCATTATTCAAACCAGATGCTGTTTTTGTAATATTCATTTCAATGATGAACGGTTTCAATTTTATTTTGAATATGTAATAGAAAGCAGGCAGATCATTACAATAAAGGCGCACTTGAAATTTGCAAAGTTGGTCTGAAAAAGAACTGAATGTAGAAAACCTGTTTTCAAAAGTTTATTGCCAAGAGCATTTTTTTTTCTTTTGTAATCATGTGACAAAAGAAATGCAATCGTGGGTTGAAGCAAGACCAGTTATGCACAGCAATGAAATTACCCTTTAATGATAATCAGCCCCAAATCTTGATTACTGCCAGCTCGAATTAATCTGGTCATAAGGCATACAAAGTACTGCGTTCATCTATCTCAAACAAGCACGAAGGATGGGCCCCTCGAGTTGAGCAGCCAGATAAGACAGGGAAGCAGGGAAAGGGAGGAGAGAAGGCCAATCACCTCGAGTGGCACCTGGGGCACCTGGGTGGCTCAGTCAGTTAAGTGTCCGACTTCGGTTCTGGTCACGATCTCATGGTGCGTGAGTCTGAGCCCCGCGTCTGGGGCTGTGCTGACAGCTCAGAGCCTGGAGCCTGCTTCGGATTCTGTGTCTCCCCTTCTCTCTGCCCCTCCCCTGCTCATGCTCCCTCTCTCTGTTTCTCAATAATAAACATTTAAAAAAATGTTTTCTAAGTGCAAGTTACTTTTTAGAAGAAGTCTGACAATGATCTTCCTCTTCAAGATTATTCTTTCTCCTGTCCGAAGAATGATGTGGAACAGATCTCATCTCCAGGAAACAAGTGAGCATCCGTAGCCAGGTGAATCCAGGGAGAAGGTGAGAGCAGACTGTGGGGAGCGGAGCCCAGAAAGAAGACTCTGGCCTTGGGCTGTAATCCCAAAAGCAAAGGGGAACAACTCTCCTGCGTGGGGCTGTTCAGAGGTGACAGAGCTTGCTGTAGTTTCTGGGTTCAATCCAGTACCCAGAGTACAATCCAGTGAGATGCTACCGTAAGAACAATGCAGCCTGACCACCAGCGGCCCGCGTCTGTTGGCTTGCGGAGACTGAGCTGGAACACGTTAGACATGGAGAAGATCAACGCCTTCATTTCACAAACAAGCAGACTCAGGCCCAAGGACATAGAGCGAACTCATGTGGGACCAACTAACGGCCAAGTCCGTTCTCCAACCCACGCCTCCTTTGTGGGACTCCCTACGCACCTGCTCAATCCCCGAGATGACGAGGAGGCCCTAAAGAGCAGTCACTAAGGACTGCTATTGTGGAGCGATCACTGCATTCCGGCACGGTGATGGACAGACACGCTTCTCTTCTGCCCGGAGCGTGCTCATCTGGTGATTCAACACCAGACAGGTGCAAAAGATCTATATTCATACTGGAGTTATAAACCCTATTTATCAAAACCCACTCTGGGCCAGACCCCGCGTTGAGCACCAGCGTTCATTTGCCTCTTGTAAGGCTCACAACCCAGGAAGTGTTGATAAACTCATTTTACTGAAAAGGCAGCCAAAGCAGGTGACGTAATTTGCTGACGCTCACACCGCTAGGTAAGTGACAATCCTGGGATCAGACATGTTCTTCTAGCCTCTTGAAGGCACTGTGCTTTCTACTTTCCGAACAGCCCTCAACGTTTGGCACAAGAAAGAACTCCTCATTCAACTGATTTATGAGAGCTGCACAAGAATCATTATGCAAGAAGGAGACAGCTTTGGGGCGTGCAGGTGGCTCAGTCATGGCTCAGTCAGTTAAGTATCCGACTCTTGATTTCAGCTCAGGTCATGATCTCAGTTTCGTGTGTTCAAGCCCCATATAGGGCTCTGCACTGACCGTGTGGAGCCTGCTTGGAATTCTCTCTCTCTCTCTCTCTCTCTCTCTCTCTCTCTGCCCTTATCCAGTTCGCACTCTGTCTCTCTCAAAAAAAAACTTCAAAAACATTACACACACAAAAAAATAAAGTAACAGATTCTGAACAATGATAAGGAAACTTTTAAAATTGGGATGTAAGCATGAGCCTTTTACTTAGCTAAGGAGAGAAGTTTCTTGCAAAATTCTACTCTTTCCTTTTAAAAACTCTTTGCTTCACAGATCCCTAGCTATTTATCACTCTTCTCTTCTCTTTCAAGCAAAAGCTCAAGTCCCCACAAGCAGAACAGAAGGACAACAAAAATCTTAACCAGCAGCAATGACTTTGCACAGAAACAGTCACCAAAGTCAAGAGCCCGTGGACAAGACCATGGAGGACTTCATTCTCCCAGCTCGCAGCCTTCTTGTGGCTGGCCGGGCTCCACACGTGCTTTCACCTTCGGGCAACCACCTGCCACCTTTACCTTCTGGAAACATGGGCACGCGGCCATGCTAGAGATTCCTGCTCTCTGACTGAACACGAAAACCTCTCAGCTGCCAGTCTGAACACAACCCTGAAGACCAGCCTCACTATGGGTTTGGTGCTGCTGATGTCTCTGCAATGTGTAATCTTCTGCCTATAGGGAGGCTGGCCTGTTTAATTAAAGCTAGAAGATTCCAAAGAGGCCTATTCTTTTTTTTTTTCTTTTTTAGAGAAGGTCTTTTTTTATTTAAAAAAAATTTTTTTTAACATTTATTTATTTTTGAGAGAGAGACAAAGCATGAATGGAGCAGTGGGGGGCAGAGAGAGAGAAGAAGACACAGAATCCGAAGCAGGCTACAGGCTCTAAGCTGTCAGCACAGAGCCCAAGGCGGGGCTTGAACTCACAAACAGCAAGATCATGACCTGAGCCAAAGTCGACTGAGCCACCCAGGGGGGCCAAATTTTGTTTAATGTTGATTTATTTTTGAGAGAGACACAGTGTAAGTAGGGGAGAGGCAGAGACAGAGAGGGATGCACAGAATCTGAAGCAGGCTCCAGGCTCCTACCTGTCAGCACAGGGCCCGACGCAGGGCTCGAACTCACGAACCGCGAGATCATGACCTGAGCCAAAGCCGGATGCTAACCGGCTGAGCCACCCTGGTGCCCCTGAACCTACACAGACCGGACGAGAAGCACCAGCCAGGCAGATGGGGCATGGTGTGCTCTCGACAAAACGCAACCAACCTCATTTTCCTAGAGACGTTTTGAAGTTTATTTCCTGGCAGTTTCAGGTTCTGGGAATACAAAGATGATGAGAGCTCCGTCCTTGAGGAGCTCACAGTCTGGTGAGGGAGACAATACCTTGAAAAGATTAATGGCAGTTATCAGGTGATAAGTGGAGAACACAGAGGACACCAAGTGCTATAAGCAAACGGGACAGAGGGACTAGGGGGACTTCAACAAAGAAGGGCCGCACGAACTAGCTTTTCAAAACGAGTAGGGAATTTTCAGGGCAACGAAATGGAGGTTCAGGAACACTGCAAGCCGAGAGGACAGGGTGTTCAAAGACTCACATTTATGAAGGCGCCTGCAGCCCGAGGAGTGAAGAGAAGCAGTGTTTGTATGGGAGGGGAGGCGGGGAGCTGGTAAAGGAAGCATCTCAGAGACTATTACAAAGGGTCTCTATAGGCATCTTGGAGTCAGTGAGGGTTTTAAGGCATATTCAGTTGTGGTTTTGTTTTTTAAGAAAGTAATTCTGGCAGAAATGCCAGTGTAGACAGGGGTTTACACTAGTGCTGTGCAATATGTATATATTATATATATATTATATTTAATATATATAATATATAATATATATTAATATTATATATATAAAATGTGAGCCACAGAGCCAAGCCACATATATAATTTTAAATTTTTTAGTAGCCACATCTAAGGTAAGAAAAAAACAAGTGAAACTAATTCAATGATATATTTTAACAACCCAATCCCAACTATTATCATTCGACATGCCGTCACTATATTTTTTTTTAATTATTAATGAGATAGTTACGTTCTTTTTTTTTTTTCTTGTCTTCTAAATCTGGCACACTCGGCCGCACATCTGAATTTGGAGAAGCCACATTTCAAGTGCTCAGAAGCCAGATGTGGCCCGAGGTGACTATAATGGACAGCACAGCTCTAGATAAACCAAATACAAGACCCACTTAGGAGGCTGCAACCGAGAGTCCAGACAAGGGATGATAAAGGTCTGGGCAGATATTTCAGTCCCTGGACATATGCTAAGCTGCCATTGGAGTGCCATTTTGCAAATCTGTAGCTTCCTTTTTGTTTTGAATCGGCCGTAATTCACATGCTTCACAAATAAAAACGGTATAGCCGTGTGTCAAACAGACAGCACGGCTCCCAACCTTTTTCTGTCCACCCACCCCTCCCCACCCGCCCCCCCCCCCCACCGCCCATTAGAGGTAAACATTTCTACTGAGTTTCTTTTATTTATTATCCTTCCAATATTTCTTCATGTAGATACAAGCAGATACGAATGCAGACTCGTATGTTGTCTCTTTTCTTTCTGCACCAAAGGTAGCCTACTACACATTCTGCTCTATACCTTTTCTCATCTAATCACATATCTTGGGGATCTTTCCATATTACTGCATAGAGTTTCCATGTTTTCTTTAAAAACACAATATGTGTTTTAAAATCCACAGTATTCAATTGTATGGATGGGTCACAGTTTATTTCACCAGACTCTACTAATGAATGATACTTGAATTGTTTCCATTCTCCTCTATTACAAACAATGGTCTAATGAAAACCTCCTACATACGTCACTTTATATGTATTCAGATGTACCTTCGGGGAAAAATTACCAGAGCCAAATTGCTGGGTCAAAGGGTAATTGCATTTGTAATCTTGAGCGATATTGCCAAACCGGCCTTCATAAGGGTTGTGCTATTTTGTAATCTCACAAGAACTACAGTGACAATTTTTCCACATCTGGTCAACGGTATAGAATCATCACACTTGAGAATTTTTGCCAGTCTGATGAAGTGAAAAGTAATACTCCAGCATGATTTAAATGTGCATTTCTCTCCTTACGTTAGAGTTTAAAGATCTTTTCTTTGGTATAAAGACAATCTGGATTTCATGTTCTGTGAACATGTCCTTTGCCCATTTTTCTACTGGTCTGCCAGTCATTTTCTTATTCATTTGTAGGAGCTCTTTATGTAGAGATTAACCCTTTGCCCATTACAAATACTTTTTCCCCTGATTGTCATTTGTCTTTTGAATTTACTTTTTGTGGCTTTTACCAGGTAAAATTTTTTATCCAAATTTACCAGTCTTTTTCATTTATGGTTTCTGAATTTTAAGTCACAGTTAAAAAGGCCTTCTTTGTTATAAAGGAATTTACCCATGTTTTTTTTTTCCCAGTCCTTTTAAGATTTTAAGCAGATATGAATATATACTCAGGTTTTGAAATGTTTGTTACAAATCATTTTTCACTTGTTCCAACGGAGGTAGACCCGACATCACGTTTTGAAATGTTTGTTACAAATCATTTTTCATTTGTTCCAATGGAGGTAGACCCGACATTTTAGAACTGCCTCCCTGATTTCTCCCTCCTTTCTTTGTCATAATTCTTCTGAATATCAGTGATCATCATACAAAATGAACTAACCAAGGTAGAGTTTATTTGAATGATATGAGATATAGAACCAACCTTATCTTTCTCCAGACACCTACCCACTTGGCCCAATGCCATACTAAATATTTCATCATTATCCTATTGGAAGCATAATTTTTAAACACTTTTCTATTTGTGTAGACAGCAACCTGGACTTTTATAAACTCATGGTTCTAATTCTTTAGTCTAGACACTACAGAGGTAAAGACAATTTATGCTATTCAGTTCATTTATGGGAACTGCCAAGTTTCATGAAACTACATTCATACAGCACCGTCCTTCCTCCCACATAGTCATCAATATCTTTTCAGCAGATGCTTGACTTGAAGAGATACACAGATGCAAACTGCCATTGAGAAGTTTACCATTTAAAGTTGTGAAGTTATTTTTCACAAATAATTTGCTTAAAAGGCAAGCAGTATACCACAATAAAAGTTTAGCAAAATTCTGTGCCTCTTGATCTTAGGGTTGTGAGTTCAAGCCCCACGTTGGGTAAAGCTTAGTAAAAAAATAAAGGAAAGGAAAGGAAAAGAAAAGAAAAGAAAAGAAAAGAAAAGAAAAGAAAAGAAAAGAAAAGAAAAGAAAAGAAAGGAAAGGAAAGGAAAGGAAAGGAAATCATCAGATTTTGGGGGTGCCTGGCTGGCTCAGTTGGCAAAGCATGAGAATCTTGATCTCAGAGTTTTAAGTTTGATCCCTATAGGGGTGCCTGGGTGGCTCAGTCATTAGGCAACCAACTTTAGCTCGGGTCATCATCTCACAGTTCGTGGGTTTAAGCCCTGCGTCAGGCTCCGTGCTGACAGCTCAGAGCCTGGAGCCTGCTTTGGATTCTGTGTCTCCTTCTCTCTCTGCCCTTCCCCCTCTTGCACTCTCTCTCTCTCAAAGGTAAACATTAAAAAAAATTAAGTTTGACGCCTACAACGCGCATAGAGCTTACTTTAAAAAAATCTTTAAAAAAAAAAAGGTTGGCAAACTCTTATCAATCACAGAATTCTGGTCAAATTCATCTTATATGATCACCAGTGTGCCATTCAAAAGATTTATGAAAAGGAAAGGAGAGAAGAAACAGGCCGTTCAGAAAATACCTGGTCCACCTCAGGTAGAAAAGTGAAAAGTGATATTTTTTTCAGTTTTCAAAAAGGTACATACAAATATGGAATGTTCCGTGAACTGGTTTGTCATCTTTACACGGGGCCACATCATCACCTCTGTAATGTTCCAATTTTAGTTTGTGTGTTGCCAAAACGAACAGAAGAAATAATATTCTTTGACAAGGGCTTAACATTCCCAATTATTTCTAGTCAAACGCTGCCAGTAAACTGGAATTTTTAAGGTAAAAACGAGAAAGGTATAGTATTCTATGGTAAATGCCCTTCTACTCCAACATTGATTCATATCGTGCATATCAGCACCTTGTAATATCCAATCAATGCATACTGCACATATTTCCCTATGGCTTGAGGTTGTAAGATTAGTTATTACGGTTAGTTTCGAAAAGATTTACACACACGCGCGCACACACACACACAGAGTTATAAGCAGCGTATCCTTCAAAACTAGCAAGGGGATCAGTTCTAACAGGGGAGGCTGGATGCTCATGTATGAGATATGAATCAGAAAGCTTTACACGGGATAAGAGTACCAGAAAGATAACACAGCCAAAGGATCCTATACAGGAAATAAAGGAGATGCCGGGGAAGTGGCTCAGGAGAATCCTATGGAGTAAGAGCTCTCCCAGGCAGGAACGAAGCATAGCTTCTAAGACGTCCGTGATGTTTCTAAAACAAACAGCTGGGGTGGAAGCCCAGAGCCCTGCGAACACAGATGCTGAGGCTGCACGCACGCTACTTCTGGGGTGGCCTCCCTGTCTCCCACGTCCCCCTCCCCTCAAGCTGCTGCCTCCCACATCAGCCTGCAGGCGCCCCATCTCTGGCCCTGAGATGAGTCTCAACCTCTAAATTTGCAAATGCCTAATGAAGGCAATTCTAAGTATCAAAAACTTACCACTAATGCCCACGGCCCCTCCCCTCCAACAGACAAAGCCGTATCTTGTTTCTCCATTGTAAAACATATTTTTTGGATGTTTAGAGAGAGACAGAGCATGAGTGGGGGAGGGGCAGAGAGAGAGGGAGACGCAGAATCCGAAGCAGGCTCCAGGCTCTGAGCTGTCAGCACAGAGCCCGACGCGGGGCTCGAAGGGCTCGAACGCACCAACCGGGAGATCGTGACCTGAGCCAAAGTCGGACGCTTAACCAACTGAGCCACCCAGGTGCTCCTACTTCTGTGTTCTCTTAACTCATTTCCTTGTTTCCTCACTCCC